AGGAGCCATCTGACTCTCAGAGCTGGGCAGTGACAGTGCCCCCAGGCTGGCCCTCTGCAGCAGTTAGCTTGGGCAGGTAAATTGTCATCTCACAACCTCAGAGTGATGCTTTGGGTTCCTCGATGTCAGCCATGATGACACTTTAGAGTCACCATGAACACCACAGTGGAATTAGATGTTCTTGGGGACACACAGGGTTCCTGCAAGTCTACGGTCACCACAGAGGTCACACAATCATGGATTCTGGTCTTGTTTGTTTGAGACAGGTTTTCTCTGTGTAGCCCTGGTTGTCCTGGAACTCATTTTGCAGACCAGGCTGTCCTGGAACTCCCAGAGATATGCCGGCCTCTGCCTCTTGGAGTGCTGAGACTAAAGGCATGCACCACCATCACCTGGCTAACAGCCCTCCTTTTAAGGCAGAGTCTTACTAAGTTGCTCAAGTTGGTCTTGAACTTTCCATTATTCTACTTCAGTCTCTTTGGAAGTTGGGGTACAGTTTGGGACACCAGGGGCCAGAGCATGAAGCCAGTCCACTCAACTCATGGCTCTGCTACTGCTTGGTTCCTCTGTGGGGTCAGGAAAGTTTCTGGGTTTGTTCCAAAATGAGAACATAAACATGCTGTTTTCCCCAGAATATTGTCTAGTGCCTCAGGGTAACACCTTACTTAGACACAGGATCTTTGCAAATGTAATATGAGTGGGGGTCAAACTGGAGCAAGATAGCCAGGGGCTTATGACAGAAGAGGGAGGACACAGGCCCAGGGAGACAGAGAGACATGGTGATGGAGGCAGAGCCTGGAGTGAGACTAGCCATGGGGGTCCACGACCTCTGGAAGTAGGAAGAGATAGGATCCTGCCTGAAGGCTCTAGTGGTGCTGGTCCTTCTTATCCCTTAGTAGGCTCCTGGCCTTTGGAACAGGGAGAGACCATGTTTATGTTGCTTAGACTCCACAATAGGTGGACATTTCGGAGGCAGCCCTAGGATACCAGTGCAGGCTTGGAGGTTCTTGAGCTGGTCCCTGTGGGAGAGGAAGCATGTGGTAGGTAAAGGTACAGATTGGAGGGCAGAAGATGGGTACCAAGGGATTCCTCCTGGGAAGCCTGGGAATGCCACCTCAGTGCCACTTAAGTGCCAGATACTAGGTGGGATTTGTTACTGCTATTCCCTTGTGCTCACACTTGAGTCTGGTTGCTTCCCATGGGGTCCAGTCCCAAAGATGATCTGAGCCATCAGAGAATCGTTGCTAGCAAGTTGAACACATTTATTAGACAGCATTAAATTCTGATGCATTGTGTCTACCAAAACCAGAGGAAAACAGCAGCGCCCTGCTCTCCCCAGGGAGTCCTCCCAGTTCTGTCTCCCAGAGCAGCCAGAGCTTTGGCTACAAATGAGCCATCTTCTGCCCAAACAACATGGATTCTTCTACATTGGCTGTGAAGCCAATTTATAATTGAATTATTGAAAGAAACAGACTCATTCAGTCTTACTAAATTCTATGTGTTTGGTTATTACCATTTAAAACATGATTGTTGTCTGAGAGAGAGAGAGAGAGAGAGAGAGAGAGAGAGAGAGAGAGAGTACATGAGGCAGCCAGGCCAGGCAGGGTGGAAGGAAGGATCCCAGTTAGGCATGGAGAAGTGTAATCCATGTACCCTGTGACTGTGGCCTTCTTATACACAGTCACTTTCTTCTTCCCAGCCTCTGCCTGGCTAGCCAAAAAGTGTGGTCAGATGTTCTCAATGCTACTTTAATGTATTTAGAGAACTCATATTAATATAAACGGTGTCCTTTCTCTCTCCCCCCTTTCTCCTTTCTTCTCTCTTTATTCCCTCCCTCTTACTGGCTTTAACACTGCCCACGGTGGTATTCGATGTTATTCTGAGCCCAAGATTTATGGTTGAAGAATCAACACACATGAATGCCACTCAAAACTCGAAAGCAGGTCCCAGCATGGAACATCTCTGGGACAGACAGGGTCTAGGCAAGCAAGTACATCCTGCTGGCCATGGGCAGTACTGTCAACAGCAAAACGATGAAGCGTTAAGCTCTACAACAGACCCCCCCACACACACACACTATGTTCTTTCTCCATCTTTAGCTTGAATTGTCCCTTAGCATTCCTGGGCAGGTAGGTATGGGGGAAGTATGGACCATTTGTGAGTAGGAGAAGGCTGTGAGGGATGGATTTATCTCACAAAACAGGTGCTCTATTATGTCTGTGCTATAGCAGATGGAGGGAATGGATACCTTGGCCCCTGCCTCACAGCCCCTTCCAGGCCAGGAAGATGCTGAGGAAGACAGGTGTGTGATTTGCCAAGGTTTGAAAATGTTTTTCTGGTGAGATCCTCTATGACTATAGCTTGGTGGCTTTATCTGAACTGCCAATTTGCCCAGTGGGTACACATCAAGACAGATCTGTGGTGATACCTTGTTTGTATACTAACAAATAAAGCTTGCCTGAAGATCAGAGAGACAAAGGGACAAGCCACAGCACACCTTACCTCACCAACTTCCCAGCCAAAAAGAGAGCGAGCTCCTATATCCTTCTCTCTGCCCAGCCACATCACTTCTGGTCTGTCTGTACAGACCTCCAAACTTCTATGGTTAGCTAGCAGCTAGCTCTGCCTGCTGATCTTCAGGCAAGCTCTGTTTGTTAGAGCACAAACAGAACACAGCTGCACAGCTCTGTGTCTATGAGCCTGCAATGTTTTCCATGTGAGGGCAGAGGCTATGTTCAGTCACCAGTGGATGCCAGTATCACCCCCTCACCATGTGAACATCAGGTCTGCGGACTTCTTCCTGATTCTTCCTATGGGAACTCTGGGAAGGTCTAGACCAGAAGGAGGTGCTCCTGTGGCTGAGGGTAATGGGAGTCCCATTGAGAATGAGAAAGTGAATACCACAGCTCACAGCTACCGGAGGGGAGGTACTCAGGGGCAATGCACTGTGGTGGTCCCAGCTTTGGAAAGAGAATGGGGACATGCGACCTGTGTCTCCCCCATGGTAAGAGAGCATCATGGTATATTGCTGGGAGTAGCTCCATATCTTGCTTCAAAAGGCCAGGAGCCTGCACTGTGGAGCTTGGTTCACATCAGGGCAGCATGTGGGGTGTGCTTGCGTATGCGCAAGTCCTGCTGTTTGCTGGCCTTTGTAGCAGTTTCCTTTGTGAATCTGGTGTCCTAGCAGGATGAGGTAGTGACGCATCTTGTCCTGGAAAGAAGTATGTTGGGAAAGCGACTGCCAGGCCCATGGCCCCTCTGAAGTCTGGACTGCTCAGCTAAAATAGGTGTGGACAGGGCTGTGACAGATGGGGGCTCTGCTATTTAAAAGCCAATCTTTTCCTGCTGACCCTATGGAGGGGCGCAGGAAGCCAACAGTGGCCCATAGTTCTTCTACCTCTGCGAGACCAGCAGAGGGGTCAGGAGGCCTCTGTGTGGGCAGAGCTGGCTGGCCTTCAGCAGCCAGCAGTGAGCGGCGACTTCCAATGTTTCATGGGTGTTAAGGATCAGCCAGTTTTCCTCCTAGCAAGGAATAAGCTGCTCTTGCCACTTTTAGTTAGGAAGCATGGCTGCTAAGACCAGTTTGGCAGCCCTGGAATGGTCAGGGATTTAGGGTGGTAGCCATAGCCAGAACCTCACCATATGTACACCTACCTCCACCACTGTCTATGGTGACTGGTCAATGTCCATGGGAGTCAGGTGACTGCAAATAGAATAAGATGAGCCACTGTGTCCTGAGGTCGCTGTCTGTGAGGACACTGGCCATGTTCACACAACTCTCCTGCCTTATGTCTTAGAAACTCTGGCTTTCAGCTGCAAGTGCAACTGCCCACTGATAGGCCACATTTTCCAGCTCTGACCACCAGGCCAGGGATAACAGAGGCAAACAGCTCCAAAGGCCAGTGCCTCCATGTTTATCAACCCCCCCCCCCATCACCACTACCAGCAGGGAAACAACTACAGTGAGCCTAGCAAGGACATCTGGAAGTGCTCCCTAAAATTCAAGGCATTAAGAGTGTTTAACTTTATGCCGGGTGTTGGTGGTGCCACACCTTTAGTGCCTTCAGCACTGGGGAGGCAGAGGCAGAGGCAGAGGCAGGCAGATCTCTGAGTTCAAGACTAGTCCGGTCTACAAGAGCTAGTTCCAGAACAGCCTCCAAAGCCACAGAGAAACCCTGTCTAAAAAAAAAAAAAAAAAAAACATGGTCTCCACTCTGTGCTGTAGTTCAAACACTGTAGCCATAGATGATCTCAAACAACAGGTATGGCTGTGTGCCAATAAAACTTTATTTATAAAACAAGTGAGGGGCCAGAGGGATCATTTGATGGTGCCCACTGCAGAAATGGCAGAGCAACAAGAGACTTACTTCCCAGGCTGAAACCCATGCCCTGTGACTGCCCTCAGGAAGAAAGGTATAGGTGTTCACTGGGTCTGTCTGTCCATGTGATCTCTTTCCATAGCCTTGTTACCAGAGCACAAGAAGGGGCCACCCTCTGAGTTTCCCTTAGATTATGGTGAGGCTGAGTGGGTGAGCGAGGGGCAGCTGGGCTGGGAAGCCTGAACCTGCTAGGAAGACAGGGTGCTTGGCGTGAGGATGCACCCACTCTCAGCACTGAGTAGCTGAGTTTCTTTCCATGTGGGTTATGTACAGGGACTTAGCACATGCGTGGAGACTGTCCTCGCAGTCAGTTGGGGAACACTGTAGAAAAGGCACGTGATTTGGCATGGGTGTGCGCTGTCCTCAGATGTCCTCCCTCAGGCACAGCCGCCTGATCCAGGAAGTCTTGTTCCTAATGCAGACTGAAGCTGCTGTTCCTGGGCCTCTCCTCTGCTGTCCCAGGTGACAGGGCCCAGCCCTGAGGTGTGCAGGGCCCACATTGCTCTGGGTCTGTGGGGGTGGGCAAGAAGTTTCCATCCTGGCTCCAGTCCAGGATCTCCTGAGTCTTGGAGCACTCAAGAGTCCAAGGGCCCGAGTGTGTGGAGGTGGGGTGGGCAGAGGTCAGTGCTTGGTGTGTTTGATCCAGTTTCGGATCATCCACTTCTGCCCCGAGCAGCGCTGCACCACCAACCGCAGCCCAAAGTTGGCGTCTTTAGACATCTCTACCTCCAGACACCGGCCTGTGTCTCGGCTCACGATGGGGCCACTCTGTAGGACAGGAGAGACAGAGTCAGCTTGAGAGTCCGGGTCACATCCTGATAAGGAATCACAGCACTATCACCTAGGGACCTGTTTCCTTGGATTATTTGCATTTCCTCTGCCCTACCTCAGCCGGGCTAGCAGTTCTGTTCAAGTCTCTGGATTTCAAAGAGGTTCTAAGAACGCATCTAGGGCCTCCAAGACTGTCCTTTTCTTAGGTGCCCTTTGGTCTCCTTAATTATTTGGTATCTCTGTGGTCCCCAAATTTCATGGACCCTGGAGACTTTGGAGCCATCTCCAACAGGTTCTTCCATGCATGCTAGCCCTCCCTGTCCACCTGGCCAGCCTCCTGTGAGCCTTAGACCCTCAGTGGCCCAGCAAGCAACAGTGGCAATTCATCCCTACAGTCAGAGTAGCTACACCCCACCTCCTCCTACAAATTGCCCAGGGTGGCAGAACAACTCTGGAGGGATCCTCTGTGTGAGATCTCTGGAGGCTAGGGGCCAGGAAAAGATCAGTGGAGGTGTGATCCATAGAGGCTGCTGCTGAGTGGATTTCGGTGTACAGGAAGGGATGGTGAGGGGGTTGGACCTGGATCAGGGCCCAGAGACCAGAAGAGCAGGGCTTGAGGCAAGTGAAGGGCAGCAGGGAAGTGGTCAGCTGCAGAGCCCAGTGCGAGGAGCTCTAAAGGCCAGAGCTCCACCTCCTCTGCCTCTGTCCAGTGCTGGAGCAGGCAAGGTTGTGCCTCTCTCTTTTTGTGACTCTAGACCAGTTTTATAAACGTTCTGTGCCACAGGCCATGAGGTGGTCAATCTTGACTATCAATCTGATTTGACTGAGAAGTGTCTAGGGCAGTAAAGCATACCTCTGGGTGTGTCTGTGAGGGCGTCTGCAGAGAGGTAACTAGACAAGGGAGGCAAGCATACACCCCACAGGCTGGGGATCCAGATGGAATAACGGACAGAAAGGATGAAGCCAGCTGGTATAGGCTCCCTCCCTTCCTCCCATCATGGCGTGGGCTGCCCTGCTCTGCCACTATGGTAAACCCTCCGAAACCAGGAACAAGAAGTAAATCTTTCCCTTTAGCTGTTTCTCTCAGTATTTGCTACAGCCATGAAGTCTGAGTTTCCAGGACTGTCAGCCCCATCCACTGACCTGGGTGAAGTCCCATAGCCTCTGCGTAGGCCTGGCTACATCCTCACACTTCTTCAGGGTGGGCATGCGCCCCCGGCCATCATCTACCAGACACTTGGAGTCTGGCAGAAAGGCAGTGGAGCCCAGGGGGCCCAGTTGCAGGAGGCCATCAGCACTGTAGCGCACCAGCTGGGGAAACAGTGGGAGTTGTGAGTGCAGCTTAGGTTCAAGCTCAAGGTACCTGTCTATGCCAGGGCTTTCATCAATATCCAAACCCACAGCTTTTCTCTCTAGCAGGACAATGTGGTGTTGCTGTGGCCATGTCCACCACAGTCACAAGGCACCTTGTCAGGTGCCTAGGTCCCACTAGCACACACTCACTCATCTTGGACCTGAGAAAATGGTGCCAGCCAGGGGCTGAACCACAAGTGTTGACGAGGCTGGAGGGACAATCATTTACAACTCTACTGATCTCCCCCTTTGCCCTCAGTCAGAGGCCATTGTGCTGAAAACCCATTGGGGGAGGTTGGCCCAGGAAGCTTAACTCTTCCAGAGGCCACTACAGTGGGTGGCATGGAGGACAGTGATCTCCCACTCACTGGGCCATTGTGTCAAAGCAGGCACTTTGCAGCCTGAAATTAAGCAGCATTCAAAAGATACTGGCTATCTCTGTCCCATGTTGGAGGCAGCAAAACCATGAGCTCACAGAAACCCCAGTCTGCCCAGATGGATGTTGATGAGTGAGGCTCAGGTTCAGAGAAGACAGGTGCTGAGCTCAGCACCTGCTGGGGAGATACCAATCAACAGCAGCAGAATGGGATTGATTCACTTGTGGCTGGGATCAGCCACCTAGAGGTATGAACAACCCTAGCCCTGAGCTGCACAAGGCACTTAAGCCTGGCAATCATTTCTCTGAGTGATCCAGGCTTGCAAGCACAAAGCAGGGCTTACCTATCAAGAACAGAATGGAAAACATAACTTTTTTCCTCCATCATGTTTAGACCAGGCAACACTCCACCATGACTTCCATTAAGCCACAAGACCACCCCGGAAAACACATACTGCCTCTGTCCCATTTAAGTGATGGAGAAACCAAGGCAGGGGGACAGTTCATGACTTGGCAAGGCCCATTTGACCCAAAGCACTTGCTCTTAACTTAATGGCACCAGCTGCTTTCAGAGTCCCAAGCTGTTCCAGGCTCTTCTGAACTTGGCCCCAACAGCCAAGGGATTCTCCATGACCCATCCCATGCTCACCTTCCCTTCGCTATGAGGTCTAGGTGTGGCCTACCTGGGAGGACATGCCATGGCAGGGGTAGAGGATGGCCCGGTCATCATCTTCTGCGCCCTGGTCCAAGCAATAACCACTGGCTTTGCTGTTTCTTACCTATATCCAGGAGCAACAGAGAAACTGTAGGTCACTGAGGAAAATCCCAGGGCTTGAGGGAAAGCTTCCAGGGACTCTCCCACCTTGTCTCCCTCTTAGGAACAGAAGTGACCACTTTGTAGCTGGCTGTGGGCTGCCTGGGATGAGACAGGTATGAACTTCACATCCAGAATTCCTCCCTTGGGATAAAACCTGGGGGCCTAGCATCCACCTGGGGCAGGGCAGAAGGTGTGGTGTAGTGTGGGTGCATGGAAGGAGGTGGGAAAGTCAAACAGATGAGGCAACTGTGGTACCCTAGGCAGCCTGGGAAGAGATGAGTGAGCTTGTTACATAGACAGGTTGTGAGTGTATGGAGAGTTATATGGGCCCCAGGAGGTGAGGCTGGATTTGGTCAATAGGATGGCTTGTGTTACTAGCTTAGGGACATCCGTGTGCTAGCATCTCCTCCTATGCAGATGCAGAGGCTGTCTTGCCTCCAACACACTTTGGCTAAGACTGCAGCAAAAGTGGCTGTGTATAGCCCTGAGCTCAGGAGATAGTTGTAGGTTCCCCCAAGCACACACTTGGACAGAGCGGTTCCCAGATGGTGGAGGGGTGACATGACCCAACCAACAGCCAGCTGATCTCTAATCTATGTAACAAGTGCAGGGGCACCCACTCTGCAGTCCCCAGGAACAGTGGCGACCTCAGACTCTGACCCAGAAGAGTTATGTTCTGTTTCACCCAACTGGGTTTCAGGCTGTGGAGTTTGAAATAAGTCAATCACAGAGCACAGCCCCTTGAAAGGACCCCTGGGCCTGACCCTAGGACAGGAAAAGTCCAAGGGTCTCAACATCTAGAGTTGGGTATGGATCCCATGGAGGGACAACACAGGAAATGGAACAGTTGCTTCCCTTTCCACCTGCACTTCCAGGAAAGCTTCGTGCCCACAGGCTGGATCTGACTAAGGGGTGACCAAGGTCCAGAGCTGATAGGTCTGCCTGCCAGGCCCCTCAGTCCTACCCCTACCCTGGGTGATGTTCCAGGGCGGTCTGTATACCACCTCCACATAGGGAAGCTGGACTGACCTTATACAGTCAAGAAGCTGGGAACAGGAGGTTGTTGCTGTCTGTGGGATACCCTCCCCTCTTCCTGCCAGTTCTGTGGTGGGATACCTTACATTCCACACCTGGGCCAAGGTAGGAACACAGTGCCTTCTCCCAGGGTTTGGAGAGGGCTCTGTGCACAGCTGTGCACTCTGGAATCAGGGAGAAACATGGGTCCAGGGACAGCTGATGGGCCGGCACTCAAGTACACACACTTCTAAATACACCTATAATGCGTGCTTTGTGGCCAGGCGTTGGTGGCACACGCCTTTAATCCCGGCGCTCAGGAGGCAGAGGCAGACGGATCTCTGTGAGTTCAAGGCCAGCCTGGTCTACAGAGCAAGCTGCATGCATTGTGGTGTGTATGTAGCTCTGTGGCACCAGGGCACAAACCTGTGCACTTCTGTGTGTGGTGGAAGCTTCTGCACATGGGTGAAACTGTGTGGGGAGCTCCATATACATGAACAGCAACAGTGTGCATGTGTGTGTGTGTGTGTGTGTGTGTGTGTGTGTGTGTGCACACGTACCCATAGGAGCAGACAGACACGCTTCAGTGTGTGTTTGTATGATCTCATGCACAGGTATGCATGGGATGAGCTTATATATGTTCGTGTGAGTGAGTGAGCACAGGCTGCACACGTGTCTATACATAAGCTCATGTATTCACACATGTATGAATGCACATTCATGTGTAATCATGCACACGTGCACCTTGATATGAATGCGTGTGAATATATACACAGATGTGTGAAGATGTGTGATGGGCACGCGAGTTTATGCATTTGTCAGCATGTGTGTGATTGATTGCCCGTGTGTAAGCATGTGTGAATGTCTGTTTATACATATGCATGTATACATAGGCCTATCTGTTTTGGTATATTTCTTTTTATAACCACACACACTTATAGTAGGAGACTTCTTTTTAAAAATTACGTATTTTTCCCAGCAGGAGCATCTTTGTGAGATGTCTACAGGACAACCAGGGACTCTGTCTCCAAGAACTCCAATGAATTAATTAGTGTTTACTTTGTACCTGGCTGCACACTTGCCATGGTGAGCATATGGAAGTCAGAGGACAGTGTGAGGGAGCTGGTTTTCTGCTTCTACCATGCAGGTCCCAGGGATCAAACCCAAGTTATAGGACTTGGCAGGCAGCAAGCATCTTCACCTGCTGCGCTATCTCACTCACCCATTTGTTTGGGTATATTTCTGCATGCAAATGTGTAGGTACGTTTCCATGTGGACTCAATGGTGGTGCTGTCCATGAACAGGAGTATACCCATGTTATTTGGGGCCTCAATGTCCAAGAATGTGCATGAGGATATATACATTTGTGTTGGTGAGTTTCTGGTGGTGGGCACAGGATGCTGGGATATGTGATCCTGAGGTATAGGTGCTGAGGTGTTGGGCACCTCAACCACAACCCCAGCAGGGCCCTGGTGCAGAGGCGGTACCTCTCCGTACGTGAGGGTGTTGTTGTAGATCCTCATCTCAGGGTACACGTTCTCCAGGTACCATTTAAAGCTGCGGCATTTTAACTTCTGGCGCAGGGCCAGCCTCTCAGACACATCCCCGAAGTCCACTCCTGGGTTCTGTGGGACACAAGCATGCAGGAGAGTGTAAGTGTTGCGGATCCCATGGGGTCCTGATCCATGAGGCGGGAGGGAAGCCTGGAAGGGGACCTTGCAGGTCCTGGGTTAAGGAGGTCGGTCTTGTGCATCTCGCCGGGTTGTGAGGGATGGGATGGTCAGGTCCAGACGGTCCACATGATTATCCAAATGCCAGGTGTGCGGCCTTAGTGGCGGTGAGACAATTTAAGAGGATTAAGAGAGACATTTAAAAAGGTTAAGTCGGCCAGGAATGGTGAGGCACATCTGTGACCCCAGCACAAGGGAGGAAGAGGCAAAACTATAGTGAGTCAAGGTCAAATGGGGCTGCAGAATGAGACCCCATTTAAAATAACATATAAATACAAGAAAGCACCCATGTGCCCTGAATCAGGATATAAGGTCTATAGGACAAGGATTCTGACTATAGGACGGGGGTGGGGGGGCGCAGGCTGTTTCTAAGAGGCTGGACCAGCTGGAGAAAGGAACACTAGGGTGAGATTTAGGGCTTGGCTGACCTCTACTTACATTTGGTGGCTACCTGTAGCCTGGAACCTATGGTAAGGGGAAGGGTGTGACCACTGTGGCTGTACCAATGAGAAGAATCCCTTTCCTACATGGCCCACCCTGTAGGGGAGGTTGCCTGGATGTGGCCCAGTGTTCCAGAGTCACCCCAATTCCCTCCTTAGAGTCTTCAAGCCTCCCTGTATCTGTCCACCCCACCCAGTACCCGCCTTACTGTCATGGGGATATTCCATGCCATGTACACGTGGGACTTGAAATCATCCATCCACACCTCGGCCGCCCTCAGCGCGTTACGCTTGGCATAGTAGTCAATGTCGTTGTTGTATGGCTTCTTAGTACGCTCAATGTGGGCCACACGGGAGCAGGGGAGGACCTCCATGCTGCCGCCACACTGCCACACCTGGGGTGAGAGGGTTGGACCTGGTTAGAGGCTAAGGGGGTCACCTGACATACCAAGTAGCCCAGAATGCCATGGGAGGACACCTGGTCCACTCAGGTCTGGACTTCCTAGGGGCCTGGACATTTTGGGTTTATTAGAGGAAGGTGTCGAAGAAGAAGACATGGACTACAGGCTGTATCCACTTGGGCAAGAGGCTGCCTCCCCTTTAGGATTTCCTGACATGCCTGATTTCTCTTCCATGTTGTATGGCTGTGGCTTTGGATCCCATCTACCCCAGTCAGAACTCTGGGTAGGGATGCTTAACAACTACCTCCCTAGCCTGGTTTGTCAGAGTCAACCTATAGCTGATTTGGTTTGATTAAAAAAGGTAACTGGTTTCTCTCTGGGCGTTGGTTTAATCCCAGCACTCAGGAGGCAGAGGCAGGCGGGTCTCTGTGAGTTCGAGGCCAGCCTGGGCTACCAAAGCTAGTTCCAGGACAGCCTCCCAAGCCACAGAGAAACCCTGCCTAGAAAAACCAAAAAAAAAAAAAAACAAAAAAAAAAAAAAAAAAAAAAAAGTACCAGTTTCTCAACAGCAACTGAATTGGAACCCCCAATCCCCACCCACCAGCCCCTACCCCAGCTCATTTTTAGATGCTTTCTTCCCAGTGTGTGGTGCTATTTTGATAGCCTGTGAAAATACTAAGAGAAGGGACTGGGCTGCAGGAAATAAGTCACTGAAGTGAAGCCTGCTTCCTGTTGCACTCTGCTTTATAGTCACCATAATGTGAACACCCACACCTCATGTTCCTGCCACCACAGACACACCTGCTTCTGCTGCCATGCCTTCCCAGCCATGCCAGACTGAGACTCTAAAACTACACACCCAAACAAATGTTTCCTTACTCATGCTATTGCTGTTGGGTGCTTTGGTCACAGTGAAGAAAACTAGCACACGCAGCCTCTGGTACCCTAAGCAAACACATGATCCCAATAGAAGGTAGAATAGCTTGCTTTCTAAGCAAACAAACATTGAATCCCCTAACCATCTGCAGCTCTGCAGTAGGAACGGATTTCATGCTCTGGTTCCTAAGCTCAGGCTTGTTCTAGTCATTTCAATTATATTTAGCTCTCCCCGGCTATAGGGCAAATCTCCATGATCATCTCAAGCTGAGCTAGCAAGTGGCCCATTTTTTATGTTGCCTTCCTCTCTGCCCAGGAATGGGATGTTTGACCAAGTGTTATTTGGAGAGTGCTGGGTAAGAGCTACGATGCACCTACATGATAAACAGGCCAGAGAAGATGCAGGCTAGGAGAGGAGTTTGCTCTCAGCCTGTGCCTGGGGCTGGACTGAATTATGTCAACATTTTGAACTGGCACTTGCACTCTTAGATCCCTGAGCTCCTGGTGCTGACCAGACCTTGGGGCTTCTCAGAATCCGTAACTGTGAGCTGGTTTCTAGGTCCACCTAGGTCTTTCTGATCTGTTTCTCAGGAGAACTGTTATAGAAAATTATTGTAACTATGTAAAGATGTGTTACATTTGTTTATGCTATGGGATATTTAACTGTGTAAGGGTGTATTACATTTGTTTCTGCTGCCTTTGTTAATGATGTAAAGATGTGTTACATTTGTTTATGCTGTATTTATTTTTCCAACTTGCCTGTCTAAGGCACCTGATTGATCTAATGAAGAGCTGAATGTCCAATGGCTAGGCACAGAGAGGGATAGGTGGGGCTGTTGGGCAGAGAGAATAAATAGGAGAAATCTAGGCTTGAATAGAAAGAGGGGAAAAAAGAAGAGAATGAGGGATATAGAGAGGGACACACCCAGGGCCAGAAGCCAGGGAGCTGCCAACCAGACAGGAGAAGAAGGAAAGAAAGATATACGGAAGGAAAAAAAGGTAAAAAGCCGCAAGGCAAAATGTAGATAAAGAGAAATATGTTAAGTTATAAGAGCTAGTAAGAAACAAGCATAAGATAAGGCGGAGAATTCAAACTAATAAGTCTCTGTGCCATGATTTGGGAGCTGGTTGGTGGCCCAAAGGCAAAAGCCTGCTACAGAGAACTCTGGCCAATCCCCTTTGTCCTGTGCCAGTGCCACTTCCATCAAAATAGTGTCTTGTGACCCACACAAACACATGACATCACATGACTTCAACTACAACAGGTATGATGGGATTGTTTTGTTGTTTGTGTTTCAAGACAAGGTTTCTCTGTGTAACAGCCCTGGCTGTCCTGGAACTCTCTTTGTAGACCAGGATCTGGAATTCACAGAGATCCCCCTGCCTCTACCTCCCCAGTGCTGGGATTAAAGGTGTACAACACCACACCCAACACAATGGAATGTTTTCTTAAACACTGACAAATTTCACAGGCATAGTGACAATGCCTGAGAGAAACAATTTCAAGAAGGGATAATCATCACCCGTGGCCTCAGAGGTTGCAGTGCAGTCATTTGCCTCTGCTGCTGTGGGCATGAGGTGAGGCTGATGGGAGCAAGGCTGCTGGCTTTATGGACAGGGAGACACAGGAAGGAGCCTAGGGCATGATGTGCCTCCTGCCAAGGCTCTGTCTCCTGTGACCTATGTCCTCCAGCATGGACCCTCCTTCTTAAAGTTCCCGTTACCTCCCCAAATGGCACCACTAGCTGGGGACCAAGCCTTCAATATAGAAACCCGTGGAGGACATATCTTTTTCAAACCATGGCACAGGAATGAAAACAAGAGAGTAGCCAAGAAATCCTAGACAGACAATGAGGACATACTCAGTTGCTAGGTATAAAGTATTTTATAAAACAATGAGGTAATGGCTGAAAGTAAAAGCCCCAAACAGACACTATGGACACACATATATACACACATACCACATACAAACATACATACATATGTACATACCACTCACACAAAACACACTGACACATATGCATACACACCAATACACACTTGCACACACACAGAGGCTGTTGTTTTTGCGGCAAAGGATGGAGGGGCCTCTGTTTTATAACAGCATGAAGGCATTGGGACCTCATTTCTTTACAAGCACACACTGAACACTGACCAAGCTCTTACAGTGGAAACACTGTGCTACCAACAGGGAGGTTTTAAAGGGCTGCTGGCTTCAAGTTGTCCCTCCAGAAAACACCAGGAAAAGCCCTGTGCCCAGAATGAAGCCAGATGCAACAGGAAGGGGCTTCCCAACCACACAGGGAGCTGATATCCCTGAGGGCAGAACAGCTCTTCAACCAGCCAGAGAAGGAGAGGCAAGCAAGAAAAGCCAGCCAGGGAGAGAAAAGCACACGGTGAACATATGTACACAGAGTGTTCACCCCATTCAAAACCACAAAGCTACATCCTCAGTGTCTGTTATATTTGCAGAAGTTAAAAAATGACAGTTGATCAGCCCCCCGCATGCCGCAAGGCCTGGACAATGGCCTCCCTCAGGCATCACTGACAAAACAAATTCCACATACTCCGTATACTCACATATACAGACCACACAAACATACACACATGACACATTCCACACAAGTACACCAAGACCACACATACACATATATCGTAGTGTGTGCACATACCACACACATATATGCTCATTCACACATACACACATGTATGCACAAAACCCACACATATATCATACACATGCACACACATATACGTACATATACCACATGTATGTACAAACATATCACCCATGTATATACACAACACATGTACATACACACATACTACATTCATTCCACACATGTACACCCCACACTCACAGACATGTGGATTACATACACACACACACACACACACACACACACATATATTTCACACATGCACACACATACATGTGTACATATATACACCACACATATATATATATATACACACACACAGATAGATATCACATGCACATATACATATACCACACACCACATTTATATATGCATTCACATATACACACATACATATACTCACAGAGAAACATACCACACACATTTATCCTTTTGGGGGCAGAAAAGGGACCTAGCATTTGCATCAAAAGCTGTATAACACCAGTCTCATTTGGCTGGGAGACTCCATTTCCAGAGACATATCATAAGGGGTTGACTGAGCTGTGTGGGTAGCCAGACCAAGCCATCACTTCATGTCTGGTGACACAGAGAAGCCACAAGTGCCTTCCAGGTAGGTACCAGAGCCCATGAGTCTGAGTATGTGAAAGAAGACAGGAACTCATGAATTCATGTCGGCAGCAAACTTGCAGGTCCAGCAGGTCACCTCAAAGATATCTGCAGGACCACACCTAAGGTACAGACATAAATAACACATGGCAATGCTCATCACACGTGACCTACTGCATGCAAGTGCACACGCATATCCACAAGCAGGCTCTGAGCAGGGCACACCTGACACTGACACGCTGTGGGCAATTTCAATTCTATTTGAGTCAATGTGCCTCACCTCCCCATTTACATTAGGGTGATTTCATAAAGGGGGTAAAACAGTGTATAAGAAAGTGGGCAAGCATCTATCAAGGCCACCTTGAGCTCCTACTGCATTTTATATTTGCACAGTTCCAGGAGTTAGTTCTCATATGCTCCTCTACATGGGGAAACCGAGGCTGAGACAGTGGTGCAAAAAACAAACAAAAAAAGAGCAAGCAAAGGCAAGCTTGAATGCAGGTCTCAGGGATCACTGAAAACACAGTGCCCATGATGCTGCTCTACACACGAGGCAGTAGATACCCTCCGTCCTTTTCCTCCTGCCAATGCCTGCTCCCCACAGCTGGAGCATGTTCATATGTTGATAGTTGGCAGGTAAGGAGGCTCAGCTTATGGCCACTCTTGTCCAACACCCAGAAAGCAAGGGGCCCCTCTGATCTGTCTCAGTGAGGACTGCAGCTACATGACTCTCATAGTGTGGTCCATCCAATGTCCAGCCTAATCCTGCTGCTTGCCTGATTTGGGCTGTGTAGCCAATGCCCCTAGAAAACTCTTGGGAGCCTGCTGCAGTTAACATTGGAGCTGTTGGAA